TTAATTTGTGCAAACTGTGAACGGATTCTAATGGGGCAACAGTATTCTCGAAATGCAGGAATCCTTGTGAGCCCGGTTTAATAATTTGTATACGGGAACGAGAAAAAATCATACTTCAAAGTAACCACATAATTTAATACTATATATTCAAAAGTATTAATTACACATATAATTTTGTTTAATTGTCCGATCAATTTTTTCTTTGATATTATCATAATTTTTCAGATTCAATAGTACATAGTGGACCAATTAATGATAACGATCAATATGATTATATTATCCTAATTCAACCGCTCAAATATCCAATTATGGTTCTTGCACGTGATCCGATTATTTTTGATAAAAAATATAAGGAAGAGGTAGTAGTTGATGATTATTTGCAAATAGATGATCAATTAATCAGAATAATAATTATGATTAATAATAAATATCGTAATAAATACTAAAAATAAACTAAATTTAAATTAAATCAAAAATAAAAATTACAACAAAAAATTTAATAAAATGAAATTATTAAGATATATAATATAAATAAATTTCATCAATTATGCATTTTTTTTAATTTTAATTAATTTATAATTTATTAATTATTATATTATAAATTAAAAATTTTTTTCCAATAAAAGAAAAACATTATTGAAAATATTATTTACTTTTTTAATATTAATTTTTGAAATATTATTTTAGGTAAAGAAATTTTTCGATAATCAACATTTTTGGTATTCTGCATTCTCAATCAAAAATACCATTCTCTTTCTCAATACAACCGATTGTTTTCGAACAAATCAATACAATATCGGATTTTAATTGATAAATTAACATTACTGTAATTGTAATTCCATAATATTATTAATTGAAATTTTTTCCAATAAAAAATATTATCGAAAAATACTTTGAATAAATATTGCAATATTCATATTTTTAAAATATTAGAAATACAAAAATAGAAATAAAAGGAATGGATTTTCAATTTTAATATTCAAAATTTAACTAATTGTTTCAATTTTTTCCTTTTATTTTAGGATAATTTTGATATTTGTTTAATGAAATATTCAAAAACTAAAATTAGCAATTTTTGATAGAATGCTGTGAGAATATAAAATCATTCAAAAAAAGGAAATGATTTATAGTAAAATTGGAAATGAGTTAATCATTTAATTTAATATTGGAAATGAATTAATCATTCAATTTCATTAGAAATTAAAATACAAAAAGTAATGAAATTATTGCTAAATTGAATTGTTAAAGAATAAATTTATACAGTAATAATTTTAGTCAAATATTATAAAAATTCAAAAATAATTGTATTCAGCAATTTGAGAGTTTGTTTTTTCTTTAATTAACAAAAAACAATGGCCATTACGGAAAAATGAAAAATTGGATAAATTAATATAAAAATATTTATTTGTTTAATTTTTCAATTATTTAAGTTATTGATTTTATTGATAAATTCCTAGCTCAAAAATTCAGGAATTTTTGAAAAAAAAGATATCGTAAGAATGATCAGAGAAAAATGAGACGCCTAATTTACGTGGTTAAGGCGTATTATTTCACGTAGAGGAGACATATTATTTCACGTATTAAATCGGTAATTAATCGTTTTCAAGAAATCGATGCCTTGAAATTATTAAATATTAGAATTTTAGTAGTAATCTTTTAAATTTTTTGTGCAAAAATTTTAGAAAATTTTAAAACCAATTTTAAATGAAGAAATTGTTGAAATCATATCACGCGTTAATTTGATAAGGAAAAATTATATTTAAATTAAAAAATTTGAATTAAAATATGGAAATTAAAAAAAGAAATATAATACCGTATATATTTTAAAAATATATGAAAATTTTAAAATATAGGAAGAAATAAAGGAATACGATATATCGAAATATAGAAATTAAAAGAAAGAATATAATATATAAAAAATTAAAAATTAAATTTATAATTAAAAGTAAAACAAAAAAGACTAAAATGTAAATTTTTAAAAAAAAGACTAAAATGCAAATATCACAAAAAAGACTAAAATGTAAATTGTTGTTTCAAATAGAATTTATTAATTAATATCATTAATATCATGTTAATATAATTAAATTTCAAAAATGTTAAAATACTGAAATCATACCATATTCAAATTTTAGTATCGAATTCAAATTACTATACTCAGATCAAATTCAGTATTTTAGTATTGAATTTGAATACATTGAAATCTAATAAATTTTATCATTTATACCATATGTGAGAATGAATTCTGCATTGTAGTACTGAAATTTCTTCTAAATTTTTTATCATAATGTTTAATTTTTATATTGCAACATAAAGTATAATTAAATTTCAATTTGTTAATATAATTAAATTTTAAGATATTAATATAATTAAATGCCAAAATGTTAATATAATTAAATTTCAAAATGTTAGTATAATTAAATTTCAATTTGTTAATATAATTAAATTTTAAAATATTAATATAATTAAATGCCAAAATGTTAATATAATTAAATTTCAAAATGTTAGTATAATTAAATTTCAATTTGTTAATATAATTAAATTTTAAAATATTAATATAATTAAATGCCAAAATGTTAATATAATTAAATTTCAAAATGTTAGTATAATTAAATTTCAATTTGTTAATATAATTAAATTTTAAAATATTAATATAATTAAATGCCAAAATGTTAATATAATTAAATTTCAAAATGTTAGTATAATTAAATTTCAATTTGTTAATATAATTAAATTTTAAAATATTAATATAATTAAATGCCAAAATGTTAATATAATTAAATTTCAAAATGTTAGTATAATTAAATTTCAATTTGTTAATATAATTAAATTTTAAAATATTAATATAATTAAATGCCAAAATGTTAATATAATTAAATTTCAAAATGTTAGTATAATTAAATTTCAATATTCTGCATTGCGGTTTTTATGGATATGTTCAAATATGATAAAGTAATTATTCACTCTTCTTAGATGAGAATACAATTCAGTTACTCTTTATATTGACATTCAAATTAGTTCCAGTTGTATCCAAAGGATGGCGTTGTTGTCATGGTGAGGAAGAAATGGAATAAAGAGTGTATATATCGAGTATCGCTATTAACCAGTAAATTGCTCGATAATGGATGATCGTTACGAAGGTTTCAACGATTATGATCACGCATATGACTTTCAGGTAAACGGAACATTTATTTATTTAATCGTTTTTAATTATTTCTTATTTATTAGATTTAAAATAACTATATTTCATTTCTAATAAAAAATAATTTAAGGAAAAAAATTCCTTTAATTAATTTTAAATTTTTAATTAATTAATATTATTTAAATTATAAATTTCGAGTTAATTTCATTTTTATAAAATACATTCTTAATATTATTCAAATGTAAATTAGCATAATAAATTTTAGCATAGCTTTGAAATTTTTTAGAATAATTTAATTTCACGCTTGGGTATTGCACCTGTTGCAACATCTATTAGTGGTGCTAATAATATCATATCAAATAATCGATCCGGTAATGATACAATGGGTGGTGTTATGTTACGATCTTCCATTGGTTCACGACGTGGAATTGAACCAAGCGTACCGATGACCGCCGTACGAGGTGCTGGTTATTCATCAGCTAGCCGAGGTACATTTTATAGCATAAATAGATATATATGTAAAATGAATGCTAAAATTTCTCTTCATGCGTAAAATGAGTGTAAAAACGTTTATGTGTAAAATATGTAAAATTGCATGTGTAAAATTTTACGCATAAGCTGCGTGTAAAACGTTTATGCGTAAAATATGTAAAATTAATGCGTAAAATGCTCCACGCATATGAAAATTAAATTTGAACCTTTTCATTGATATTATGATTGAGATTTATTTTCCAAAATCTCCTCCTCATTCATTTGCTAATTTCAATAAACAAATAATGAATGTTTAATTAATGAAGCAAAAGAAGAATTTTTTTAAGATGAAACTTAAACAGGCATTTGTAAAAGCTAAAGAAGAAGTAGGTCGATGTCGAACGTCTGATTGTTAAGGCATTATCATCATATCATAAGCATATATGATATGTGTAAAGTATTATTGATTCGTTTTCTTTAGGGATCTCATTCAATCCGTTAAAAATAAGCATAGCGGAAAAACCACCCGAGATAAGTAATGAAGAAAAATGTCGTCAAATGGAGCAAAAAGTTAATGAACTCTTGAAAGAAAGTATTTTTGCATCGGAAAAAGGCGATATGAAACTGGTTATAACTATTATTTATTATTGTTATAGCGAATTTTTATAGTGATAATAATAATATAATAATAATAATATTATTATCGCTATTACTACTTATTGTTACTTCATAATAATATATTTTACAAGATATATTGATTATCTTAATCAATTAATAATACTTTATCAATAATTGATTATTCTAATTAATTAATCATATTTTATCATTAACTATTTTAACTTTTTGACTAACATATAATTTTTTTTAAATTTAGCTATTGTATAAACTATAATTAAAACTATAATTAGCTATATAAACTAAAAAACTAAAACTATAATTTCAATGAACAAATGACAATTTGTTTAATTAATGAAACAAAGAAAAGATTTTTTTAAGATTGATTTAAAATTTGGAAATTTTTTAAAATGGAAGTTTTTTATAGGCACTTGAAAAAGCTAAAGAAGCAGGTCGACGTGAACGTACAATTGTTAAGATGCGTGAACAATTATCAATTATTGATCAGCTTAATTTAGATTTAACATTTACAGTTTTATTCAATTTAGCACATCAGGTAAATAATTTAAATTTAATTTTTTAATTTTCTACTAATAAAAAATTATTTCAATTGAATTGTTTGCTAACTTTTTATTAATTAAATTATCATATTATTATCGTTTCTTTTTGCTACATTTAAGATATATTTTAAATTGAAAAATTAGACGAAATTAGGTGGAATAAATAATTAATAATAAAAAATTAGAATGATTTTAGGTGGAATAAATAATTAATAATAAAAACAATTGAAATGATTTAATTTAATTTAATTTAATCTTATAGTATATGGCAAATAATTTATTGACAGAAGCATTGAATACTTATCAAATGATTGTGAAAAATAAAATGTTTACAAATTCGGGTCGTTTAAAAGCAAACATTGCTAATATTTATTTCAAACAGAAAGACTACAAGAAAGCTATTAAACTTTATCAAATTGCTTTGGATCAAATACCAATTTCACAAAAAAATACCAGGTAAAAAAGCTTTTTAAATTTTATAATAAATATATTAAATTAGAAGAAAGAGAATGAGAGAGAGAGAGAAAAAGAATTGGAGGGAGAGAGAGAATTTTTAAATTTTATAACAAATATATTAAATTATAAGAATTAAAATAAAATTTTGAAACTGATATTATTATAGGATTAAAATAATGAATAATATTGGTGTTGCATTTATCAAATGTGGTGAATATGATGAAGCTGATAGTACATTTGAATATTGTATGAATGAAAAGAGTAATTATAATACGGCGCTTAATTTTATCCTTACCGCATATTGCTTAAATGATATTGATAAAATGAAAGATGGATTTCAGCGATTATTGGATATACCACTTTTGATAGATGATGAAACGAAATATGTACTGCTTGTCTGGTTCTTTTTTTTTAATCTTATCTTACTAATTATACTATCTGTAATAGATGATAATTGTATTAATTATCAATGATGAAAACATTTAAGTAATTGATTACGTTATCATTCCATGATTTATTGTATTACTAATAATTATTATCATTGGATAATTGATATATTATATTATTTGATCAGAAAAATTTCGATAACGTTTAAGGAAGATGATATTTCAATACTGTAACGGATATCATCCAATGATAGATCATATTATCAATAATAAATATAATTTAATTAATGATTATATTGTGTACTAGTAGATATTATTCCATTATCATATTACCAATATTAGATACCATATCTATTATCTATCACTGATAGACATCAGATATTATCTAATTACATAACAATTTAAAAAAGTAAGAAAGCTTCCGATATTGATGATACTTAGGGAACTGCTATTTTTGAAATATTGCAAACTAGTACTTTCAACTATACTAATTTCCGTTAAGAAGAATAAAGCATAATAATTCATATACGTAAAAGTTTTAGAAACACTAATCAGGTAGGATAAAAAAAAAGCAAGAAGAAATGAAATAGAATGAAAAATCATACAACCGGATTTTCTTACTTTAGGATCAACAGGATTTCCTGATTAGCAATGATTCGCTAAAACAATGGGAGCGTCAACGACGAAATATTGCAGAAAAAACGATTTTCATTGCTGCAAAAATTATTTCATCAGTTATTGCATCAACGTAAATTAAATTAATTTTATTTTCTTTTTTTACGGTTCAATTTTGGAGAAGTTATTTCCTTAAATAGAAATTAGCAACGAAGACAAAGCCGAATTATTAATTTGATTTTCAAAAAAGGGATGATATGCAAGAATATGTATTGATAATTCTTTTAATAAATGAAAATGATTGTATCCGGAATCATATTTTTTCCGAAACATAAAGAATATTTTTATTTTGAATTTAAATAATTTAAACAAATAATTTTTAATAATACATATTATTATTATTATTATTGTTATTACTATTATTATTACTATTATTATTATTATTGTTGGTGTCATTTTTGTTATTCATTAAATAAAATTAATATTACTTCATTTATTTTGAATTTAAATAATTTAAACAAAAATTTTTTAATGAAACAATTTTATTCATTGAAGAAAATTAATATTATTTCAAAAGGTATGCACTGATGAATTTTCAACTTTTCGTTGATAAATTTTCAACTTTTCAAATCATTTTTATATCAGTTTTTTCACGTATTGTTAGAATTTTTTAAACATATTGATAAAAATCAGGGTATCTGAGGGTTATAAATGGTGTGTGGATGCAATTCGACAATCGGTCTATGCACCATTAGCAATGGATATTGAAATGAATAAAGTTGTCGTATTACTTAAACAGGGTGATTTAACGAATGCAACACAAGTATGTTAATTTTAATCTTTTCCTACATTTTAATTTATTACAAAAATTAATTATTCATTAGTTAAATGTCATGCATTTATTAAATGAAATAACTTGACCATTGGTCATTTTTTATCAATGAAACAAAATGCTCGTCTGATTGCTATAGATAAGAAAATTGTAGTTAAATGTCGTGCATTCATTAAATGAAATAACTTGACCACTGGTCACTTTTCATCAATGATAGAAAATGCTCCTCTGATTGCTATTGATAGGTAAATTGTCTGTCTGATATCGATTCGTATCAAAAAAGAAAAGAGTAAATTAATTTTAAATTAATTTTTTGTTGTTGTTGTTGTTGAATTATTTTTATAATTTAATTGCTTAAAAGAAAAACTGAAAAAATTTAGTTATTAATGTCATTCAACAACAAGGAGGATAATAAAGTGGCAAGCGCAGCAGCGAATAATCTTGCTGTACTTAATCTTTTGGTTAGTTGAAATTTTATTGTTTTAATTAAAGTTCAAATTGATAAATTAAAATTTCATTTAAATGATCATTTATTAGTGCAAAAATAAATTTTACTTAATCTTTCAGTTAATCCAAATTTTATTGTTTTAATTAAAGTTTAAATTGATAGATTTAAATTCCATTTAATGATCATTTATTAATGCAAAAATAACTATTAATTTAATTTAGACTTCAACAATTGCTAATCATTTTTGCAAACACTGAAGATATTATCAGATATATACATTTTTTGCAGTAAAGTATTAATTCAAATTTCAATAATCGTTAATCGATTTACAGGAATTAATTTTTTTTCGTTTTCAATTACTTTTATTAAGTAAGAAATATAAATTAGTTACTATGAATTATCCATTATATTTACATATTATTCTTTTTCAGCAAGGAGCATCAAAATTAGAAGAAGCTATACAATACTCTGAACAAGCACTTTCTGTTGATCGTTATAATGCTAATGCATTGGTAAATCGCGGGAACATTTTTTTCGTTCTAGGAGATCTAGATAAAGCTGCTCAATACTATAAGGAGGCATTAAGTAATGAAGTAAGTGTAATAAACAAATTAATTAATTAATTAATTTTTAATTCTTACATTATCCATTTATGATGACACATTTTTGCTGCATCATTTAACGATAATTTTGAAATATTTGCAAATCGATCTGATCTGATCTGATTTGATCTGATTTGATTGATTGCTGAAGAATTCACTATTATTTCACTTAAACAATCAATTACTATCTAAATAATTAAAGATTTTTGATTACTTCCTGCTTTATTGCCAACGATAACTTAACTTTAATCATTTATTGTATATTAATTTTATTTAAATTATATTTACTTATTTATTGTATTTGTTATTTTAATTAATAAAATTAATCTAATTACAATAAATAGATTTTAAATCAAAGATAGGCAAGAATTGTTTCAAATTTAAAACTCTATTAATTCCTTCATATATTTTAAGGCATCATGTTTGCAAGCACTTTACAATCTTGGCTACGTTCAACGTTTACAAGGAAAATTAGAAGGTGCATTGGAGTGTTTTTATAAACTACATAATATTTTATTAAATAATGTTCAAGTATTATGCCAACTTGCTTCCATGTAAGCATTTTTTTTAATTTAATTTTTCTTTCAATTTTTTAATTTAATTACTTTTGATTTCAAATTTTAAATTAATTTAATTAAATGAAAATCTTTCTTATTTAAAATTTGCTATCATTTAATTTATTTAAAATTTACATTTAATCATTTAATTCATATGCTTATTAGAATTTTTTGTCAAATAAAATTAAAAATTTGTTAAAAATATAAACCATTATAAAATTATGATTTCAGAATATTTAATTTGAAAATTAAAATAATTATTTCAGAAGGTTTAATTTGGAAATTAAGATAATTATTTTAGGATGTTTAATTTCAAAATTAAAATAATTATTTTAGAATGTTTGATTTCAAAATTAAGATAACTTTTTTAGAATGCTTGATTTCAAAATTAAGATAATTATTTCAAAATATTTAATTTGAAAATTAAAATAATTATTTCGAAACAAAAAAACTGAAAAGAAATTATGTTTATAATAATTTGGATAGATAATCTTTTTATTTGATCTTATTTAAATTGTGCACATTTAACGGGATTATATAAATCAGTATTATATAAATGTATAAACGTATAACTTATAAAAATTTCAGATATGAACAACTGGGGGATAAAGCACAAGCAATAGAATTGTATAGTCAAGCAAACAGCTTAGCTCCAACAGATTCTGCGATACTATCAAAATTAGCCAATATCTATGATTCTGAGGGTGATAGAAGTCAAGCATTTCAATGTCATTATGACGTACGATTTCCGGATTTCTTTTCCTGAGAAAAAATACTTCCTTAAATGGCTTCAATAAATTGTAGCAAAAGAAAAGTTGAATTTCATGATATTTAATAAATCATTAAACTATTACAAATTATGAAATTTGAATAGAAATTGATTGTAAAAAAATCACTAATATACTCAAAAAACCGGATCAAGAAACCGGATAATCCTAATTTACCATCAGAATTTTCCAATATAGTATTCAGTAATTATTGTCTTTTCAAACGAAAACTTCAGTATCATCCGTATATTTAATAGGTTTATGATAAATGATAAAAATTTCTTTTATTAGACTTCACAATTAATTCGACAGATTTTTAATTTTTTTTGGCAGAAGGCAAAAATTGAAAAAAATTTGCATTTAGTTAAAAGTTGCCATAAATTCATTCGACCTGAAATATAAAATTTTAACTTTTAATTTTTTAATTAAATTTTAGTTAGAAATATTTGATTTAGGCAATTTAATGGATTGATAAAAAATTGTCAGTAATATTAAAAGAAATCTGATAAAACTGATATGATAATTTTAGAGTTATCGATATTTTCCATCAAATATTTCCACAATTGAATGGCTTGGAGCGTATTATATTGATGCACAGTATCCGGAAAAAGCGGCAACTTATTTTGAAAAAGCTTCTATGATAGAGTAAGGCTGGAATATTGTTTACACACTTTTTGTAATTTCTTTTATTTCATTTTATTTGAGCAAGAAGAAAAAAATAGAAATCTGTTGACAGTTCTAATTTCAAATATCAACACTCTCAATACGATTTATTCCTGAAATGTTTTAATTCTGAGATTCTCAAATTACCGAACTCTTCCGTGAAAATTTTACCCGCAGATACAAGATTCTCGAATCGTTTTATATTCTATGCTAGTTATGATTCATGTTGATATTTCAAAAATACAGAAAGAAATAAGTAAATAATAAATTTAGACCAAATGAAATAAAATGGCAATTAATGATGGCATCATGCTTACGACGTTCCGGATATTATCAAAAAGCATTCGAGTTGTATCAAAAAATACATGAAAAATTTCCAGAAAATATCGATTGTTTGTTTAATTGCTATTTATATTATTTTTTATAAAATTTTGAAATTTATTTTTTGCAAACAAAAAGATGAGTTTTTATAATTTCAATTTTAGGTTTAAAATTTCTGATAAGAATATGTACTGATCTTGGAATGCCTGAAGCTAAAGAATACATGGAAAAGGTAAAGTAAACAATCGTATTGATTTAGCGTGCAAAAAAAATTTTCTAAAATTAAAAATATTATTAGTTGCTTTTCTACCCATAAGTCCATATTGCCCTGAAAACCTGAAATATCTAAAAAAATATGACGTGAAAATGTAAATCAAAAGTTGTCATTCATTCATTCATTTTTCTAATTGCTTAATTTAGAATTTTAAAGATAAAAGATAAAAAGATTAGATAGAAAGTGTAGTATTAACGTCAACACACGTCGATCAACACGTTTGACTAATCTATAAAAAGATTAGATAGAAAGTGCAGTACTAACGTCAACATATTTTAGTCAATCAACCCGTTTGATTAACCTTAATTATGCTAACATCGATTATTTTTTTTAAAGTAAAGACAGATAATTAGTGCTGTCTTTATTGAAACTACTAATTATTAATTATTATTTAATTACTAAACTTCCTTCTAACTAACAATCACTTCATTTTGCTATTTTTACTTCTTTGCTAAATTATTTCTAATTTTTCAGTTATCAAAGACAGAAAAAGTACGTCAATTAAGAATGCAACGTGAAATAGATTCTAGCCAAGGAAGGCATAATACACCGTTAATTCAATCAGTAAATAACTTTGCGAAAGGTATTTTCACGTACGTCATTGTAATCATAATTAAAATATCAATCTTTCTTTGAAGTGAAAAAAGTATATAGAACTTATCATCTTATACCAACAGAAGAAAAGATTGAGAAACAATGGTACTAGTAGTAGTGGTAGGATAGTGGTGTAGTAGTATTGTTGTTGTTATTGTAGTAGGAGTAGTAGTGGTAGTAGTAGTGGTTTCTAGAATGATACATTAATGATTGATATAGTATAACCTGTCAAATATGCATAGTATTATAGCTATAGTTCCAACGAAATTACTCGTTAAAGTTTGAAATCAGCATTTAATTCAAACTTTCTTAATCAGCTGCTTTGCATCTGTAAATTTCATTCGCTGCGCATTAGTTTAGTGGTTACGAAATACGATGACAGTTGAAGAGATCAAAGTTCAATTCCTCATACCACTCAATTTCTTAAAAAAACTTGTGCAATGATGCTTCCACACATTGACTTTCGTTCTACTGAATAATTATGAGAGAATTTCTCAAGTTATAATCTGAGCACTTTTACGTTAAAATCTACGTTAAACTTTAGTTCTCAACATTACGTCAAACTTCAGTTCAATTCTCACGCATCTTAAACTTCAATTAAAAGTAGGCAATGATTTCAAGTTATCTCAAATTGAAACAATTCTTTGTGCGTATGAGTCTAAATTCGAATCTTTTACATTTAGGTAATAATGGTCGACCAAATTCACGCTCACAACTGAAAACAGCAAGTGTTCGTTTATCATTCGATGACGATGAACAATATCACATTTCACGTAGAGAAATGAGTACGTTGTAAATTATTGCAGATAATTCTTATAAATTATGATTAAACGGTTTAATTACGGAATTTCAGGTCCCGCTGATTATGCTTACAGTGATCCTCTTGGGCCAGCACCACCTCGACCACGAACGGGTATAAGGCATCCAAACACCGCAAATATGGAATCGTTTGAAGATGAGCAATTTGATGAATCATTATTACCTGAATAAATGAAATAGCAATTTCTATCTACGAGATATAGAAGTTATCCTATCCATCCAATCCATTCAAATTTTAAATGAAATGTAAGAAATATCCGCTAGTACTGCTGCTTCCACGTCTAATTTCTGCAACTTTTTTAAATCACTTTATTTATAAAATTTTCAAAATTCTTCGGAATAATAGAATTTAGTAAAAAAAAATACTTTGAAATGTATCTTTAAAAGAATGATGAAAATTAAAAATATATTTTAGTGTAATGTTTACAGACAAATGATAAAGTGCAATAGATGCAGTAATGCAGACATTTCAACATTTCGGATATTTATATCAGATAAAGAAATATTGTGAGTGGAAAAAGAATGCACATAAATATTTGAGGCATATACAGAAAAAAAATCGAAAAATTAATGAAAAAGGTTTACAGTGATGTGAAACCACTAAAACGAATTCATTATACTTACTTTAATCTTACTTATATTATTATTATTATACTCACTTACTTACTTGCTTATACATCCCGTAAACGTCAGATAATTTTGAAATGAACAGTTATAATTGTCCGAATATTCTTTAAAACTTTTCTTCTGTTTGCAAGAATAAATATCAGCATTAATATTACGGAGCAGAAAACGATGACGAGTGTTTAGACGTATACTTTAATTCATTGATTGTAGGTTATTGTCTTAGCGATTTGAAAATTGTAAATCTAGTGTAAGCGCTCTACTTCTATTGCGATATTTCCAGGAAAAACTAATTTCATGTTTATATTTAAGTCAGGTTTATATTTTTTAAGGTACTATTGAACTGATAGCCCATAATCAATTATCAAAAACTACAAATCAGTAACAAACACTTCAAAAGCTTCATCAAAAAAAATTTAAAAAATTGTGAGTCAAAATCATGTTAGTTGCAATAACAAAAGATCGTTCAGACTTTACTGGGATGCACTTTTACTGAAATATAACCAGGACGTGTTTCTTGACAGCTGTTTCAGACTTTTCCCATTCCTTACCATTTCTCTCCTATTCTATACTTGGAAAGATCGTCACAAATATTATTAAATAACATTAAAATTCCGATTTCATTCACCTGTTTCCTCAAAAAAAACTGAATGTCACAAAAATATATTTCATTCAATTTAATAATTGGCAGTACGATAAAAGCTTCTTGATTTATCATTATTTCTTCATGTTACGTTCAGATTCCTCCCTCAATTCTTTCTCACTGATATAACGAATTTTATGCTTCTCCGTATACTCTTGCAATTCTTTTCCTTTTTCTATCAAATTATCCTTCATGGAATTGACTAATGCATCCAGCTGAAAAAGATAAAAATGATGCATTTGTTTGAATTTTATCAATGATATCCTGATTGTTTTGCCTTTAACAAAAGCTTAGTATAAACAGAAAGAAAATCACACGTATCCGTGTAATGCTTATAATAGCATCATTATGGCGGAATCAGATATGCAAGAGTTGAGGAACGTGAATCATATTATCTCTCGATTTATATTGATATAACACATGAAAAATTTAACCACATCTCACAGTTATTTATGATTGTGGAGTGAAAATTTAATAATTAACAAATCTTAATGTAGGCTAGCAGAATTAATAAAATAACATAATAAAAGACTCACATTTCCTAATGTTGATTCCAATATGGGCAATACTGTTCTTATTTCATGTTGCACTAATGTCGTGCCTATCATTCGAAAGCACTTTCTACTACCTTCCATTTTTCTCAACACTTGCAGGACACGTCTATAACGCTTTTTTCAATGTTTTGTTGATGATGATTATTAGAATTTCATGAAAAAAAGAAAAAACAAAGAGACACTAAAAGTACGACAAAGAAATAATTTATGTCAGGGAAGGATAAATCATCTGATAACGCTTCAGTAAGGTAGATAGATATGCACGACCAGTGAAACCTACTATGGCTTTTATTCTGAGACTAAGAAGACACTAAACATTAAGAACTCAATTAAAAAAAATCAATAAAAGTTGAAATTTATTTAAATTTATGATTCCCTTAGTTCTAAAAAACTAAAATGACTTACTCATGTTCACGTTTATCGTCTTCTACTCGTGTTAATTCCATAACGATATTTTTTTGTTGTTCACGAAGTTGCTGCAAACCAGCAATTATAGCGTTCCTGTCTTTTTCTTCTGTTTTATCCTTTGTTTCAAGATTTTTATCATCATTATGTCTCGTTGACACTTCTTCATACGACATAATAGAACTTACTGAAAATTTGGGAACTTTAATCAAACTCCTTGGGAAACATTTCATGTTCTTTACTAATCGCACAAAATTAGATAAAGAATTGTCCATCTTGGAAACCCCGGAAAACTGAAACCTCGGAAATCATAATTCTCAAGAAAGTGAAAAATATTATATTCTTTAAAAAATAGGCTTACAACCCCAACTGTAAATCATTTCGTTTTCACATGAATCAAATTCATTTGTAGCAAAGGCAAAATAAGATATGCTCAACGCTGTTGCAAAATGAACAAAAAATTGATTTACATAATACACAAAAAAGATCAGCAAGATTATCACAATAAATAATTGATGTACAAATTGCCCAAAAATTATGATCGATCGCTTTTTTATAGCCTTTCTTTCAATTTAGCTAGAATTTCCTCATGGATTGGGAAAACGTTAGATAAATTGCTGCATAGGATAGTTCAAAGACGATTACTAAAATACTTCGGATAGAAAACAGGCTAGTACTTTTTTGACACCTTTCTTTCATTTTTAAAATGACAACACCACGCTGAATGCCCCAAAAGTTTAAACAACGCTTTATGGAGCTTAACATCCGTATATGGAAATGTAAATGGTATTTCCTTCGAGCGTAAAAGGAATTTTAAATTTTAAATTACCTACATATTTCCTTCAAAGGCAGGAAACAAACAAACAAACACATAATGAAAATAGCGAAGGAAAATACTATTTACATTTCAGTGAAATCTTTGAAATAAACAATCGAAATTATGCACTGATCTTTGGTCCGTGGCACTATCTTAACAAGTTTCAAGTTTAGGATAATATTCCAGAAAATCACAGAACAATCTATCCTTGTGAAACAAGCAATATTTATACAAAATTACAATAAACATAATCTTACAACTACGACATGAATATATCCATAAACAAAGGCACTAGCATAAGGCACGTTTACTTTACAAACATTTTAAAGAATTTCTTATCAGTGATTTATAAACATTTTGAGGGATTTCTTACTGAAACTTAGAAAAAATTATTTAAATGACTTTTTTTCTTGAGCGAATTTTCAAACCATTGCTTCCATCGAAGTCTGAAGTTGTAAAGAAGAAGAAAAAGTACCACCACCTAAATATACATTACTTAACAACAGTACTTCACACTACATCGACTCTACCTATACTTTATTTATATTAACTATTGGCTTTTATGATATATATTAACTTTAAAAATGATGAAACGGAGTTTGTATCGCCTACTGTTGAAAAATGGTTGCGCCAAAACATGCAAAAAAAATATTGCGACTGTTTGTTGCAGTAGACTTTCTACACCACTGTACAATCTGCACTTCAATGATGCTGCTCCAGAAGTTAATGATATCTTTCAATACAGTAAAGATATCATTCATAAAGATCACAGTGAATAATGGAATGAACACATGATCGTTTGAAATTCAAGCCAAAGAAAAGAAATTCTGAAAATTGGGACGATAAGCTTCATGAATTTGAATTCAGAGAATTCAATATGAAGAACCTCCTAAATTCGTCAGCTTCGACCAACAACCGTCAAACCTTCGAAATATTACTAAAATACTATTTGGCAATAATCCCAAATGTCTTGGAAGTAGAAAAACAAAATAGACAGACAGTCCAACTAGACAAACACGTGATCATATCTCGATGGCACTGAATAATATCGTATTGAATGACCATATAATCTAGATAATAACAATCAAATCAAGATTTGCTTTAGAAGACACAACGAGAGCAGCCTGTATGGATAAATTTTGGACTTCTATGTCATTCAAGTAATTCAAAAAGTAAAATGTTCTAAAAAAAATAAAACCATAAAGAAAAACTGGATTGAATCAAACTATCGAAAGCAAAAGAAAAATTTTCACTTAGAAGACCGACCTGTCCCCAATTCCCTCCCCATCTTTTTTGACAATAGATTATAATCTGCTTCATGGTTCTGGCAATTGTATTATTCCATACTGATCAACGGTTTGCAATAATTCACAAAAACGAGGTGATTCGACTCCCAAAACATACTGACATGTATGAGGCTCTAATAAGTAAAGCGTCACAGCCGTTTGACTTCCTTTTGATATTCGACAACGAATACGAACTTCAACACTTCTAAAATTTATTAGTTTAATTTTTTTCGTACTAAATTGAACCTAAAGGACTCAAAAAAATTGTTGCTCATATTCAAATAAGGCCGAGAGAATGGAAAACGTAAACCTGTGAATATTAGTCTTATCGCAAAATACACCACCAGCATACAAATGTGAAACTTGAGTTACCCGACCGTCAATCTATAAACGACATATACGCAGTGAAACAGTTTGGATCAAAACATTTATCTAATCAATTGATAAACGAAATGGTAAACCAAGTGAACTCGAAATTCTCCCGTGCACTGACTTATATATCGTTAGATTTCCAAAGCTTTATACTTTTTTAACATTTTTAAAAAATCAGTGAATGATTAGAGTATTGAAGGATATTGAAGGATTATTACACTGTTTATAACAATATGCATGACTGAATAATCCAAATCAGCTATTATGTAAGTAATTTTATAGTAAATTTCAGGACTATCATCTCAGTGAGATTAAAAAAAATTACCCTCAACGGTTTCTTTTGAGGATTATCGTCAATCCAGTGTTTATGCATATCAAGATTGAAAAGACCCAACAGGATTTCAGTTCGTTCACCTTGAGGATTGTCATGAAATTGTATTACCTGCAACATTTTCATTTCTCTTACTCATCACTAATTTTTATTTATTAATTTTATAGTCCAAATCAGGAGTTACATTTGTTGTAGAATTATTAGAATAAAATCATCAAAGTGCTGATCAACTTACACTTTTCCCGAAACAAAACTCATATTTCCACCATCCCATTCCACCACCATACAAACAGTGTTTTCCATTTAGCAAATATCTATTTTCCTGAAGCAAACTATCTACATCGATCATCGCGTTTTCCGTAGGAATTGTTGAGGATACTGGAAAGGAAGCGATGAATGGACAAAAGTAGAAAAGATCAATAACACTATGAAAAGGCAACCATGAACCTACCATGAAAAGGCATATTAAGCAACACAAAAATACTGCAGCGTTTAATACAAGTTATAGAAGTTTTAAAGAAACAGTTAGATATTGGGTTCCTCCGACTAGAGAGTTATTAATAAATAAGAGTAACATACCATGTTGTGGGCTGTCAGACTTCGGTGGGGCTTGCTTGGCTATAATAATTGTGGTATCCAACTGATCACCATAATCTTCGCTTTCTTCATCTTCTTCATTAATGTCAACATTTACAGGAGGTTTTTCAAGTTGAAGGGTTGATTTATATTCCTGGAAGATTTATAAGAAAATATAATTCATTTACATAAGCCAATAATATCTGCAAACTTGATAATAAAGGATATTTATTCTCATTTCAGAAAAGCACTGAATGAATGGCCTGAAGTCGAGGAAGCAAGAATATTTAATCCTAAACTCAAGAATCACTTTCAGTCATGCATAATGAAACCTACTCTTTCCAGCGTTGTCTCACTTTCCTTTTCCAGTTGCAGAAGTTGCTTTGGCTTTGGATACTCCTTATGGGGATCCCTTGAATAACAAACAATTTCGTGATCAATAGTTGGCAATGGCCGAAAAGACGGATGAGAGCATAACTGTTTCGTAAATACAATCATTTCATAAGTACAAGAAGCTGTTTCAGCAAAAGAATATATCTGATCTCTGGCATCCTGAAAATATCTGAAAATTAAAGCAACCAACCCTTCAATCAAATAAACATTATCTAGGCAGCTTGATAAATTTTCATTAACAGCTGTTAAAATCTGAAAAAAATGACCTAGATTAGATCCAAAAATGGTGAAAAAAGTACGGTTTCCAACATGTTAGAAAGTAGTTTCAAAAGGTTCCTCTTCGCTATTCTGAAATTTTCTCATAATGAATACACAGACCAGATCGCAGGCATATATAACAACTGTGCTCCTTGGTTTTCCTGTTAAATCACAAACGGTTCCTTGTCTATAGGTGACTGGATAATATGGCTGCACTTTGTTATCAATTTTGCGTTTTGGTGGATTCATCTCATCGAAATTCTTATCATCCTTAAAAAAGCTAAAAAAGTACATCCAAAAAGTATTTATTTTGCAACATCAATAAAAAAATAATCCTAAAACAGAACACTGAGTACGAATGAAATGATTTCTAGAACTACAAAACTTATACACAAGTTTGCACTTTTTTTACAATGATCGCTTCTCTGATATATGATATACATGTTATGTATTTTAACTATTATGAATGTAGAAAGAATTTCATACTGCCTTCAAATACAGACCGCAATATAACGAAATGAGAAATGGGTTTTAGTAAAAAACATGTCATTTTCCAGCAGTGATATCCGACATCTTCAATGACAGTGTACAAAATTTACACTTAAATGAGAAAATAAAAACAAACCACAGTGACTACATAAAAACAATTAAGAAAAACAGCTTGAAAATGATACCAATTTAGATTGTTCTCGACCATAGTTTCCTAAATAATATTCACTTCTAGCATTTCTTTGCGTTTCTCTATTATCATGATATTGCATAATATACCGTCCATGGCATAACTCATACGTCCAATATACATCCAACCAATATGAGCATACTCTATTATTGTATAGTGATTGAATAAGTTCAGCTGGTGATGGTCCCACATACGACTCCACTGTTTGCTCGCCCTGAAAACGAAAATAAAATGTATTACTATGTTTGTCATCCAATGGTTAAAGTTTTTAAAATTAAAATAAACACATACTCTGATCTTAACAAAAAAGACGAAATCCGGAAGTTCCCATGTCTAACAGAATTATTTTTATCCTATCGCATATAACACTTTACTTCATTTAACAGAATTCAAATTATCACAACTGTAATATCAAGTAATTGTAGCCACGGAGATATTTACAGCAGGCAAAAATTGAACAGTCA